TTTTTTATTTCTATAAAATATAAATTTTAAAATTGAAACAAAATGTCTCTTCAAATATTTTTTTTTTAATTATAATTCAGTAAAAAAGGTTTTTGGAAATATATTATTTTTTCAAATTTTCTCAATATTCATTTAAACAGACAGGTCTTATATAAAACAGACCAAAAAAAAATTAGATTTAAAGGGAGCAAAAATACAAATTTGAACATGGTTTTAAACCTTGAAAAATTTATTTCCATATGGATGAGTTTTATTTATCATTCTCTTCAAACAATTTTACAGGAAAAGAAGTTTTACTTGTGTGATCTTGATTCTCATAATTATTTTCATAATTATGGTTGTTTTATTTGTAACTTATCCTTCTATTTGAATTTGAAAATGTTAACATCTTTGTGGAATCATCTCCCAAGAATCAAAATAAAATTTTGTTTTAATCTTAATCCTTTTAATTATTAGAGCTGGTTGTATTATTTTGATGTGGTTTGAGTTATTATATATATATATATATATATATATATATATATATATATAATATTTTTCTGAAGAAAATGAACAATTGTAAAAATATATGATAGGTATTCAACAATGGGTTAATTAAATTTTTTTTATGAAATTTTGAAAGGATAATATTAACGTGGAATTTAAATGAATTTATGGATTTTTTACAATTTGTTTTATATGGATTAATGCTAAGCTGAGGAAATTCATATTGGACAAGAACTTGTGAAATAATTTAATTTACACTGAAGGCCTCACAAATGAATATGCCTTGTGTCAACTAAGATTATTAAATTGCTGATATAGTGATAAAACATGTAAATCTCCATATGTTACCCATACTTCCAAATCTCACCTTTGGGATGTAATGTTGGAACTTTTCTCACTAGAACAGTTACCACTATATAGAGTTTTGATCTCACATGGGCATCCTACAAAAAAAAAAAAGCCACATTGATCCATTAAGCTTTGAAAAATCATTGATCTTACTCAAAAATCCTGGAAAATGAAATATATATATATATATATCAATTTCTATGAAAATATAATTAATAATTTATTTGTTTTGAGATTTGCTAATATAAAGAAATTAAGATATGTTTGATTCATTCTAGTTTTGAAATTCTTTCCTAACAAATTATGTTTTCAAGAAATAATCTGAAGATTCATATTTGTTTGTTAAAAAAATCCTTTTTTATTCTCTTTCTTTTTTTCATTAGTGTTCATTTCAGACCAAAACATGTTAAAAAGTTAAATATAAATTGTAAGGTTGAACAAATGGAAATTTGATTTGCCAACTCATAATTATTCTGCTATATACAGTTTCAATTGGTATGTATAAAGTTCAACAGGACATTGTGAACTGTTTGTTGGATAGATTATCATACTACTTTTAAAGACACAAATTTTTTTTTAACATTCCATTTTTGATTCCAAAACTTTTGATACACTAATAAATAAACAGGAGTTTAAACCAACAGATGTAAACATTTTTTATACATAAATCCAACAGTTTCCAAATATCACATCCTGTCAATGAAAGGAGATGGTAAAGAGTTTCATTTAATTTTCTAAGAAAACTGTTTTTTTTTTTTAGTTTTTTGAACCTACCAAAACATTCGGGTTGAAAGTATACAAGGATGTTTGAAGTTAGTAGTCTAATTCACATAAACATTTTTTAAATTATCAATTGTTTCAAAAAATCTTTATTAATTATTGTTAATTTTTTAATTTATTTAAAGTTCAAAACAAAGAGGCAAAATCATTCTTCCTTTTCAATCATCACAAATTTTCCTTTAATCATCAATAACATTATTGTTTTTTTTCAATCATCATTATCATTACTTTTCAACAATCATTATTATGGAGAAGTTTTCCATTCAAACATCATTATCATAATTTTCCTTCAATCAACATTATCATTATTATTTTCCATTTTTAATTATCATTATCAAAAGGAAATTTTAAATTAAAAATCAAAATTAAAATTATTATTTTTTAGAATCAGAAAGAATCATTATGAAATTTCTTTCCATAATCATAATTATAGCTTTGGAGACAATCCTCATTATCATTATTGTCTTTTTCCATCAAATTATCATTACAGCCTTCCTTTCCACCCATCAATTAGAATTTTTAAACAAAGAACAGGGATTTCAATTAATCATTAAAATTGTCTTCCTTTCCATCATTATTATCACAAAGGATTTATTTTCCACCATCATTAGAATTATTCATTTCCATTAGTCATCATTACCATTATTGTCTCCCATTCAGTCATCATTTTTTGTATAATGGTCTTGAAATCCATCAAAAACATTACTGCCTTCTTTTCCATCATAAAATCATTATTGTCTTCCATTCCATAAAATCGTTATCATTATGCCATTATAGTTACTGCTTTTTTTGTGCCATCATCATTATTGTCTTCCATTCAATCATTTGATATTGTCATTATTTTCTTTTCTTTCCATCATTTTTATCAGAGAATTTGATAAAATTATTTTCTATGATCATTTTCATTGCTGCCTTCCTTCCAAACATTTATTAAACCCCCTAATTCCTTTCCATCATCATTATTTTATTTATTCCATTCAATCAAAATTAAGCCCAAAATATATCATTTCCATCATCATTATTAAAACATACATTTCCTTTTGTCATATATTATTATTATTGTTTTCCATTCCATCATAATTATTTTACTTCCTTTCTTTCCATCATCAGTCATTATTTCTTCCATTCAATCAGTTTTAATATTTATCCTTTCTTCATTTTCATCATCATAAAATTCATTAATAATTTTTGAATGAATCATCAAATTTCCTTATCTTCTAATTTTAAATCAGCAGGATTGTCTTCCTTCATATAATGGTTGAATGGCAACACCTAGAAAACTAACTTTCTCTCAATTAATCATCTGAAACCCCTTTTTGCCATCTTAGTGCACCAGGTTTATAAATGAAAAGGAAAACATCATTACACCATCTTGGGTTCACATTCTCTGCTGATATAAAATTAAAAGAAAAAATAAAGTCTTTGAATCCATTGTTAAAAATGCTAAGAAAGTTGGTTCACTATGTTGGGCAGGATTTTTTTTCTCTCAGAATCTATCTTATATATCTATAAGTTTAAAATTTCTTTGTTTAAAATATTATGCTTAATTTTGAAATTTCTTGTTATGATCTAAAGAAGAATCTGCAATTTTATTGATCCAAATCTTGTGGCTAACTGAATGATTCCCACCACTTTAAGGTTATATTCTATGTCTTTTATATAAATATATTTATGGTAATTGTTGTGGGATGAGCTCTTAGATATGGTAACTAGATTTTTGAATTTAAGTGCAGTACTAGACTGGTAATTGAGATCTCATCAATTTACAGTTGAGCTGGCTAGATGTAACTAAATAAATTCTATGCTCGGAGTTTCTTTTCTCACACTTCTCACTTGTGGAATTCTCTTCCATCTTTTCCAGCTCTGTACTTGCCAGTCAACTTTAATCTGCCAAAATTTAAATGCAAATTTTAATCGCTATCTACTGTCCTCCTGATTACTCTTCCTCTGTTCTCACTTCATTAGTGTTGTTCCTGTTTCTAACTCTTCCACACCCAGTAACCCCCCCTTGTGTCACAGTGGCTTTATTGCCTTATTTAGGGTGAAGTCTATTAAAAAAAAAATATATATATATATTTTTGGGGTCAAATAAAGATCAAATAAATTTTTGAATTTAGCAGATTGATAAGAACATTTTAAAAACATTTAAGAAAAACTAGCATCAGAACTTAGATATGGAGAAAATTTTGAGAAAGAAACATATTTTTAGGTTTGGTTTTTTGACTATCATATCACCCTGAATAAAGTTATTTAATGCTTGACAAGATTTTTATTGTTTTTAAGGGACAAATGTATTGCTGAAATATTTTTTTTCCAAAATGTAGGAATTGGTATTAAAAACCGAATTTTACACTTTCATAAACCTTTTGACACCTCCCATAGTAAACTATTTGCCTATTATGAGACCCTAAAAGGTGCTACCACCTCAGGTCAGGGTGAACCTGGGGTTCCTCAAAACCTCCTGATCAGAGGCTTTGCTGTTGGATGTAGTTTATCACCTTACCCAGGACGGTCTGGTATTTTTACTTTCATGTTGTTTGATTTCCATTGGTTAATCATGTTTTATATGCATCAAACTTGTTAAAACAGACATTAGTATAATTTATGGCATTCTGAATCCAAATATTATACACTTTCATACATAAAGCAATATTTATGTTTTTTTCAATCAGTCTTGAAATCCATTAATTTTTAGGAATTTAGAAAGGACACATCATCTCTCCTTGAATTCGTTTGTTTAACAAGTCATGTAAAATATAATAAACTAATGAAGATCAAACGACACAAAAGTAAAAATACCAGAAGGCTGAAGCTTTAATGAAAGGGAAATATATTAGATTGATAAATGTTTCCTACATATATATATATATACTGACGTACACACACACACTAAAAATGTTCCACTTATGTATGTAAAAATGTATCTGTCTACATGAAAACAAACATACATCAATGCATGTTTACTTTTATTATATGTTTGTAGGCAAGTTAATGTGTATTAGAAAAAACACATTGTCGAAATACATGGATAATATTTCTCGAGACCATTTATAATCACACCATTCAAATCATTATCTTATTTTATATGGGAAAAATTACTTTTTCATCATTTGATTTTTTGGATTTTTTTTTTTGATGTATTTTTTATTTTGAAAAAATTACAGCATGACATCAAAAAAAGCATCAAGTATTAAAAAAAACGGCAATTTCCAATTCGATAAGTGAAAAGAATAAGAAAATGACTGAATAAAAATGAAACACATGACAGGGCAAAAAAAATAAAAAGTAAAAAGCACTTCTTTAAAAGACAAGAGATCCTTGAATTCTTATGTCTGCTGTTTAGCATTTAATAATGTCACTCTTTCTGAAGTTCAGAGTAAAGAGGGTTAGAAAACACGCAAGGGAGAGAGAGAGAGAAAAGGATTAAAAGGAGGAGGAGTAAGAAACAAAGGGTGAATTTCTAAGAAAATAGATATGTTTTTCTTTTCTTTTTCTTCTTGGAACTGGGAGAATCTGGAAGAGAAGGAGGAGGAGAAGAAAGAAATGATGCGAAAAAAGCTAAGAAAATAGATATCAAGAAAAAAAGAGAGAAGAAGTAGAAAAGAGTGAAAAGGAGGAGGAGGATTAAGAAATGAAGGGAGAAGAAAACCAAGAAAATAGATATCAAGAGAAAAAGAGTGGAGGACTGGAAAAGAGAATTGGGAGTAAAAGGAGGAGGAGGAGTAAAAAAAATTCAGTAGAAGAAAGCCAAGAAAATACATATCAAGAGCAAAAGAGAAGAGGAGTTGAAAAAAATAATCTGGAGTAAAATGAGAAGTAAGAAATGAAGGGAGAAGAAAAGCAAGAACATTGAGATTAAGAGAAAAAGAGAGGAGGAAAGAAAAAGAAAATCGGGATTAAAAGGAGGAGGAGTAAGAAATGATGAGAAAACAAACACAAAAATAAACATCAATAAAATAAAGGAAGGGCAGTTGAAAATCCATAAGTTTTGAAGAATTGAGATGAAAATAAAAAAAAAACCAGATCTGAGAAATATAAGAAGCATTTTAGTATTATTAAAAAAATTTTTTTTTTAGTTTGAGAGGATAAGAGAGGAAAGAGAGGACTTGGGGAGAGAAGATGAGAGTGAAAGAGAGGACATGGGGAGAAAGACAGAGGAAAGAGAGGACATGGGGGAGAGAAGATGACATGAAAGAGAGGACATGGGGAGAGAAGATGAAAAGTAAGTTGAGGACATGGGGAGAGAAGATGAGAGTGAAAGAGAGGACATGGGGAGAGAAGATGAGAGTGAAAGAGAGGACATGGGGAGTTTTATGAAAATGAAAAAGAGGACATGGGGAGGGAGGTGATGTTTTTGAAAGAGAGGACACCCCCAAAAGGCAAAAGATTGGACATGACTACAAGATCCAATCTGAGATTTTTGGGACAAGGGGAGGAGATTAAATGAAAAAAGAGGTCAAAGGAGATGAGAGAGAAAAAGGGACAGAGGAAGGAGACGAGAGGGAAAAGGGACAGGGGAGGAGAAAGGGGAAAAAAACAGGGGGGAGGAGACGAAAAAACAAAAAGGACAGGGGGAAGGAGGACAAAAAAAACAGGACAGGGGAGGATAAAAGGATAGGGGGAAAAAAGGACAGGGGAAAAGGACAGGGGGAGGAGACCAAGGGGAAAAAGGACAGGGGACAATTTTTGAGAGGGAAAAAAAGGGCAAGGAAACCGAGAGGGGATTCTAACAGGGGGATGGGAGAATTGAGAAAAAAAAAGGACAGGGGAGGGGAGGCGAAGGGATTTTTATTTTTTTCATAGAGAAAAAGAACAGTATTGGAGAAGACATAAGAGAAAATATCAATACAAAGAGATAAGAGCAGATACAAACTAAAAAAATGGGGAGGAGACTAGAAATTTAAAATACAATCTTTAAGATCAGAGAGCATATAAGGGAGGAGATCAAAGAGAAAAGATACAGGAAGAGAGAATTTTAATCAGCCAGGAGAAGCAAAAGAGCATGCATTAAGAATGAGAGAGAGCATACAGGGAGGAGATGAGAGAGAGCTACAAGGGGATGAAGAATTTTTTACAGGGGAGGAGATGAGAAAGAGAATAGAAGGATTTGAGGGAGAGATTAAAAAAGGAGAGAGATGAGAGAGAGCATACAGGGGGAAGAAACAAATGAGAGAGAGCAAACAGGGGGAAGAAACAAAAGAGAGAGAGGACAGGGGGAGGAAATGAGAGAGATAGAGAGGACGGGAAGGGCGATGAGATCAGAAAGATAAAGAGGAGAGGAAGGAAATGAGAGAGAGACAGACACAGAGAGAGAGGGCAGGATAGTGGGAGGAAATGAGACAGACAGAAAGAGGATGGGGAGAAAAAAGAAGAGGATAAAAGGAGGAAACAAGAAGAAAAGAGAAGTAGTGAGAAAATTAGAAAGAGAATAAGAAGGAATTTGAAGGAGAGGTGATTGAAAGAGAAAAAAGTAATAAATAATAAGCGGGAGAAAGAAATGGAGGACAATGTGCAGAAAAGATACTGAGTGGCCAATAATAGCAGACAAAAAATCAATAAATCAATAAAAAACAAATGAATAAAAATCATTCTTAACATGACAGAGTTAAGAATGGGCAGGGTGAAGATTTTCTCTGAAAATTTTTTAAATGTGAGTAATTTTTTTAGTTGTTGTTTGAGTGTATAAAATGTAACATTTAGGAACTGAAGACATTCTGTGAAAACAATGGCATCAAAGAAAAGAACAAATACAGAAAAGTGTAAAGGATAGAAGAGGTAAGAAAGAAAGAAAGAAAGAAAAATGGGAGGAGGAGGTAAAAGACAGATAGAAAATAGAAATAAAAGCAGAAGGTGAAAGATAAAAGGGGAAGGAGGTGAAAGACAAAGAAAAAAGTGGAATATGAGAAAGATTGAGTGGGGGAGAGAAAAAGGAAAAGGAGGAGAAGAAATTGAGAAAGAAAAGAGAAAAAAAAAAAGAAAAGAAAAAAAAAAATTCAAGAGAAGGAAAGACACAAAAAATTAAAATTTTTTAGAGCAAATTAGAGAGAGCAAAAAGAGAAGAAATTTATAAAATCAAGAAAGAGGGAGGAGAGAGAGAAAAGAGAGAAAGAAAGAAGGAGAAAGAAAAAAAAAAGAGAGAGAGAAGAGAGAAAAAACAAAAAAAAGAGAGAGGAGAAACAATGCAAAAGAGAGAGAGAGAGGAGAAACAATACAAATGAGAGAGAGAAAGAGAGAAAGTAAAAAAATGCAGAGAGAAAAAAAAAAAAGAAAAGGAGAAAAGAGGAGAAAGAGAAAAGAGAAGAAAAAAAATGAAAGAGAAAGAGAGAAGAAAAAGAAAAAAAAAACAAGAGAAAAAAAAAGCAAAAAAAAAAAGAAAAAGAAAAAACAGAGAAAAAGAGAGAAGGAAAAAAAAAGAGACGAAAAAGAAAAAGAGAGAAAAAAAAAAAAGAAAGAGAGAGAGAAAAGAAAAAAAAAAAAGAGAGAGAGAGAAAAAAGAAAAGAGAGAGAGAGAGAGAGAAAAGAAAAGAAAGAGAGAAAGAAGAAAAAAGAAAAGAAAAAAAAGAAAAGAAAAAAAGAAAGAAGAAGAGAGAAAGAAAAAAAAAAAAGAAAAAGAGAAGGAAAAATGAGAGAAGAAGGAAAAAAAGAGAGAAGGAACAATGCAAAAGAAAAGAAAAAAGAAAAAAGAAAAAAAAAAAAGAAAAAAAAAAAAAAAAAAAAGGAGAGAAAGAAAGAAAAAAAAAGAAAGAAAAGAAAAAAGAAAAAAGAGAGAGAAAGAGAAAGAGAAAAAAAAGAAGAAAGAGAAAAAAAAAAAGAGAGGAAAAAAGAAAAAAAAAGAAAAAAAGGGAGAAAAAAAAAAAAGAAAAAAGAAAAAAGAAAAAAAAAGAAAGAAAGAGAAAGAGAAAAAAAAAAAAGAGAGAAAAGAGAAAGAAAAAAAGAGAGAGAAGAAAAAAAAGAAAAAAAAGAAAAGAGAGAAAGAAAAAAAAAAAAGAGAGAGGGAGAAAGAAAAAAAAAGAGAGAGAGGGAAAAGAAAAAAAGAGAGAGAGAGGAGAAAAAAAAAAAAAGAGAGAGAGAGAAAATAAAAAAAAGAAAAAAGAGAAAGAAAAAAAAAAAAGAGAAAGAAAAGAAAAAGAGAAAAAAGAAAAAAAAAAGAGAGAGAGAGAAAGAAAAAAAAAAAAGAGAGAAGGAAAAAAAAAAAAAGAAAAGAAAAAAAAGAAAGAAAAAAAGAGAGAAAAAAAAAGAAAAAGAGAAAGAGAAAGAAAAGAAAAGAAAAAAGAGAAAGAAAAAAAAGAAAAAAAAAAAAGAAGAAAAGGGAGAAAGAAAGAAAGAAAAAGGGAGAAAGAAAAAAATGAGAGAGGGAGAAAAAAAAAAACGAGAGAAAGAGAGAAAAAAGAAAAAAAGAGAGAGAGAGAAAGAAAAAAGAAAGAAAGAGAAGAGAGAAAAAAAAAAGAGAAAGAGAGAAAGAAAAAGAAAAAAAAGAAGAGAGAGAAAAAAAAAAGAGAGAAAAAGAAAGAGAAAAAGAAGAGAGAGAGAAAAGAAAAAGAGAGAAAGAAAGAAAAAAAAGAGAGAGAGGGAGAGAAAGAAAAAAAAAGAGAGAGAGAGAAAGAAAAAAAAAAGAGAGAGAGAGGGAGAAAAAAAAAGAGAGAAAGTTAAAAAAAGAGAGAAAAAAGAGAAAGAAAAGAAAAAGAGAAAGAAAAAAAAAAAGAAAAGGGAGAAAAGAAAAAAAAAAAAGAGAGAGAGGGGAGAAAAAAAAAAAGAAAGAGAGAGAGAGGAGAAAAAAAAAACAAAGAGAGAGAGAGAAGAGAAAGAAAAAAAAAAGAGAGAGAGGAGAAAAGAAAAAAAAAAAAGAAAGAGAGAGAGGGAAAAAGAAAAAAAGAGAGAAAGAGAGGGAGAAAAGAAAAAAAAGAAAAGAGAGAGAGGGAGAAAGAAAAACAAAGAGAGATAGAGAGGGAGAAAGAAAAACAAAGAGAGATAGAGAGGGAGAAAGAAAAACAAAGAGAGATAGAGAGGGAGAAAGAAAAACAAAGAGAGAGAGAGAGGGAGAAAGAAAAAAAGAAAGAGAGAGGAGAAAGAAAAAAAAAGAAGAGAGAGAGAGAGAAAAAGAAAGAGAATGAAAGAGAGAAAAAAGAAAGAAAGAGAAGGAAAGAGAAAGAGAGAAATTTTTGAAAGAGAGAAGAGAGAGAAAGAAAAGAATGAGAGAGAAGAGAAAAAAAAGAGAGAAAAAAAAGAGAGAGAGAAGGAAAAAAAGAGAGAAAAGAAAAAGAGAGAAGGAAAAAAAAGAGAGAGAAAGAAAAAAGAGAAAGAAAAAGAAAAAAAAAAGAAAAACAAAAGAGAGAGAAGGAAAACAAAGAGAAAAGAAGAGAAGGAAAAAAAAGAGAGAAGAGAAAAAGGAAAAACAAAGAGAGAAGGAAAAACAAAGAGAGAAGGAAAAACAAAGAGAGAAGGAAAAACAAAGAGAGAAGGAAAAACAAAGAGAGAAGGAAAAACAAAGAGAGAAGAAAAAAAAAAAGAGAAGAGAAAAAAAGAAAGAAGAAAGAAAAGAGAGAGAAAAAAAGAAAGAGAGAAAAAAAAAGAAAAGAGAGAAAAGAAAAGAGAGAAAAGAAAAAAGAGAAAAGGAAAGTGAAAAAGAGAAAGAGAGAGGAAAAAAAAAGAGAGAGAGGAAAAAAAAAGAGAGAGAGAGAAAAAGAGAAAGAGAGAAAGAGAAAGAGAAAAAAAGAGAGAGAGAGAAGGAAAGAGAAAGAAAGAGAGAGACAGAAAAAGAAAAAGAGAGAGAGAGAGAAAAAGAAAAAGAAAGAGAGAGAGAAGAAAAAGAAAAAAGAGAGAGAAAGAAGAGAAAGAGAGAGAGAGAAGAAAATGCAAAAGAGAGAGAGAGAGGAAGATGCAAGAGAGAAGAGAGAAAGAAAGAAAGAGAGAGAGAGAAAGAAAAAAAAAAAAAAGAAAATTAGAAATAACCAAAGTGAGAAAAAAAAAAAAAAAAAAAAAAAAAGAAAATGAAAAAAAGAGAGAGAGAAGAAGGGAAAATTCAAAAAGTGATAGAGAAGGAAAACACAGAGAGAAAGAAAAACAGAGAGAGAGAAGAAAAATGAAAAGAGAGAAAAAGAAAAACACAAAGAAAGAGAAAAATGCAAAGAAAGGAAAGATAGAAAAAGAAGAAAAAGAAATCCAAGTAATAAAAGAAAAAAAGAAAGAAAAGAAAAAAGAAAGAAAAAAAAAAAAAAAAAAACAGGAAACAGAAGAGAATTAATAAGTTAGAGAAAGCGTCAGAAATAGGTATTTCTTGAAGCTAATAGTGCTCGGAGTGCTGCTGTTTATTTGGTGTGGGACTTGAGGTCTCAATCCATCAAAATTTGGTTGGTGTGTCAAAAATTAATCACTATGTTTTAAAGTCAAATATCTCAGATGTGAAATGATACCTTTTAAAAAACTAACAGAAATAATCTCCTGAAGGAACTGAAGATTTTAAAGCAAAAAATGAGGCTGAAATTACAAAGTTATCATTATTGCTTTTAATGGTAGCAATCAAGTGATTATTGAAATGAGAGAAAAAAATAATGGACAGATGAGATTACAATAGAAAGGGAAAATAGAAAGATCAGGAAAAGAGAGGTGAGTGAACAAAGACAGAAAAAAAAAGATTTAGGAGACTGATTAGAAGAGGTGGAAGAAAATAGAGGAAAAAGAGATGTGATGAGAGAAAGGAAGAAGTCGAGAAAGAATGTGGAAATAGAAAGAAGTTTGAAAAAAGAGAAAAAAGAAAAAGAGAAGGGAAAGAACAGGCAAGAGAAAAGAAACAAGGATTAAATGAGGGAATGTTAGTAAAATGATTAAGAGGAGGAGAGAAGAAGAAAAAAAATGAATGAAAGAAAAAGTGGAAGAAATAGATACAAAAATAAAAGAAAATTCTGGTACAAATGAAGGGAAGAAAACTGATAAATAATGGAATAGAGAAAAAATACTCCCAAATAAAAGAAATGAAAGAATGGTAAGGAAGGAGAAAGATAAAGAAAGAAAATAAAAGAATGAAGAAAGGAGAAAAAAAAATGAAAGAAAGGTAAAAAATGAAAAAATAAATGAGAAAGATAAAAAAAAATGAAAGAATGGTAAATAAAGAAGAACTTGAAGGATAAAGAAGAAAAATGAAAAGAGAGAAATAAGAAAAATGAAAAGAGAAAGACAAAGAAGAAAAAAAAAAAAAAAAAAAAAAAAAAAAAGAAAAAAAAAGAAAAAGAAAAAACAAAGACAAAAAAGAAAAGAAAACAAAAAAAAGAAAAAAAAAAAAAAAAAGAAAAGACAAAGAAGAAAAAGAAAGACAAAAAAAAAAAAAGACAAAGAAGAAGGAAAAGACAAAGAAGAAAAAGGAAAGACAAAGAAGAAAATGAAAGGAGAAAAATAAAAATAAATAAGAAAAATTAAAGGAAAAAGATAAAGAAAAAAGAAAGATGAAGAATGAAAGATGATAAGAAGTAGATAAATATATAAAAAAGAAAGAAATGAAAGAATATTATAAGATAAAGAAAGATCTGAAAGAAAGGTAAAAGAAAACAAAAAAATGAAGAGAGAAAGATAAAGAAAAAATGAAAGAAGATAAAAAAAAGATGAAAAAAGATTGAGCAAAGAAATAAATGAATAAAATGAAGTAAAGTTAAAATATGTCGGAAAATGAAAGATTAAGAAAAGTTAAAAAGAGAAAAATAAAATGCCGAGAAGAAAAGGTGGACCGAGAAGAAATTTTAAAAATCAGAAAAGAGTTACAATGAAAAGACATGAAAGAAACAATAAAAATTATTGTAAACAGAGTCTGAAAACTCACAAAGAACTGAAGTCAGTAATATTTTGTTTTGTTTTCAAAGACTAAAGAAAGGGAAGGGCATGTAGAATGAATCCTCAATGTACAAAAAAAGAATGAAAAAACAAGACGAGTAGAATTATTGTGATATGCTTCTAAAGAGGTTTGAGGGACAGAGAAAAAAAAAACTGACTTTTTTTTTTTAGGAAAAGAGCGAAAATCATCGACTACATATAGGGAACATCAAAATACCATAGAAGCAGAAATTTAACTATCTAGCAAGTGTTGCAACAGAAGACAGAAAATGTGATGCAGAAATCCAAAGACACATAGAAATAGTGAAAGATGTCATCCAGAAATTAAGCAAAGTATTACGACACAAATAGCCTACAGTATCTGTCTATATTTCTGCGATGAGGTATTATGTACACTATTTGCATTATTTGGACTCTTGTTCTCATCTTTGCTGCCATATGTATTATAACGTTTCAGCCTTTCATAATCTGTCTATATTTCTGAGATGAGGTATTATGTACACTATTTACATTATTCGGACTATTGTTCTCATCTTTGCCACCCTATTTATTACATTTCAGTATCTGTATATATTTCTGAGATGAGATATTATGTACACTATTTACATTATTTGGCCTATTGTCCTCATCTTTCTTGCCACATTTATCACAACGTTTCGGCCCTTCAGTATCTGTCTATATTTCTGAGATGAGGTATTATTTACACTATTTACATTATTTGGACTATTGTGCACATCTTTATTGCCATATTCATCACGAGTGTGAATTCAATACCTGGATTAAGACGGTGGAAAACTTGGAGAGAGTAATTAGCAGGAGATAACTGATAACTGACATCCATTAGACATTGCAAGTGGAACTAGAACAGTCTACATCAGTGAGCGAAATAAAGAGTTCAGTTCGACATTCCAACCACCTGAAGAAGGCCTGAGGGTACAATGGCCAAAAGCAGCAAACCAGGTAGATCTCTATTGCAATGACAGTAAGAGAGAACATATAACCACATAATACATCCATCAAAAGTGTTGAGGAGTTCAAATATCTTGGATCTCACATAATAGATTCCCAAAAAGACTTCAACATCCACAAAGCTCTTGCATAGGATGCATGTAACAAATTTCACAAGATTTGGTGCTCAAACCTTCCATCCTTTTTAAAAGTCCAAACCTTTGGAATATTGATTGAACCAGTCCGACTGTATGGATCAGAAACTGCTTGTATTGAAAGATGATCTATATGAAACATACACATCCAGAACATGGAGATCCCATGCAACACTTAACACAATTTATGGAGAACTGAGACCAATCTCTCTTAATCTCAAACAAAAATGATTACAGTTTGTTGGCCACTGCCACTGAGTGGACAGGGAAAGCATCTCATCCTTACTCTTATGGCCTCCTTTTGGAAGTGAGAAGGCACAGTGGAGTAATGGATAGTGGCTCAGATTGAGGAATCAAGGAGCCAAGTTCAAATTCTAGTTGAATCCATTACATTCGCTTACATGCTAATACCCTTGAAAAAGGTATGAATCCTATTCTTCTCCCCCAGTTATGAGTAAATAGCAGCAGACTGGGTTCTATAGCCTTGGATGGCAATTTGTCTACCACAGAAAGAAATGGAAACCTGCAGGAAAAAATCTGCCTTGTCAGTCATGTATCGAAAGATACATGATCGCCTAAGCGTGTATCATGTATGGCACATAACTGACCGATTCTCATGAAAATTGATTTTTCTGGGCACCAGAGCTCAGGGTTGGACATTGGGGATCTGGGGACAGCAATACAGGACTGAACAGTGTGGAAAGGGGTTGTCAATGGAGTTTCGAACAACCATATCCCTATGTCAAAGGATGATGATGAAATAAAGGGTTCAGTTACTCTGAACAACATAAAAGAAAACTGATAAAGACCAGCGGGCACAGCAGCTGAAATGTTTTGATACCGGCAACAAAGATGAGGACAGTAGTCCTCATATAAATAGCATAAATAATGATAAGTCCTCATCCTAAAAATTAAAACAGAAATCATGGCAGTATATGTTGGACAACCTTCCAATAGATAAAGAGCTGTGAAGTGACATGAAAAGGTGGGTCTACCAATAAATGCAGAGAATAATATGGATAGAACCTGGGAATACTGAGTGGCAGCTATGAGCAAATAGTGCCCACCCCACTTACAAATCCCAACAGTAAATTTTTATAATAAAATGAGCAACAATACATTTTTTATAGCAAAATGACAATGCAGCACTAATAAATATAAAAATACATTTTATAGTAAAATTCTCAAAAATACATTTTATTTTTATAGATACAAATATTTAAGTAAATGCTCTGTTTATTATAAACAGTATTAACAACATTTACCAGCCTGAATGTCCGAGAAGCAAAATAGAAAATATCTGACCTCCGACATATAAGAATACATTCGGTTAGCAAGGTCGATTTTTAAAAATTGACCTTGCTAACCGAACGCTCCTCTGTGGCCCAATCAGTTAGGGCATGTCAGACTATATGACGGTTGCGTATAGGATACAGGTTCGATTCCGTTTGGATGACACATATTTTCTATGAAAATTTCTTGAACAAACAGGCCAGTAAATGTTGTTAATAATGTTTATTATATACAGAGCATTTACTTCAATATTTGTATCTATAAAATGAACATATAAACATAAAAAATGTATTAAAATAATTGTCGAACTTTGTCCATTTCATAATACATTTTATGATCTACAAACTATATATTTAAAAAGCATACTTTTATCCTGAAAGTATAAAATTATGTACAAAATATCTGCAGTTAAAGGCATAAAATTACATACAAAATATTTAGATTTTACCATTAAATAACCCATAGAGCTGTTGATCTGCCACTAAACAAAAAAAATACAACCAACATGGGGATAACAAGGAAGACATTTTGGAAATTATGAACTCCATGAATACAGCTACTCACAAATCAGAGAGTTGAAATTCCTGTGATACATAATAAGGAAAGAAGTTTGAGAATTTAACACCCACAGGACATAATGAAAGCAAGAGAAGTAGCAAACGGTGAACAACCTACTTAATGTCAAAACAGGGAGCATAAAAACAATGGGAAAGTATTAAGTGTTACTTTGAGATACAAAAGACAGATTTTAGTCAAGCCATGATTGCCTACATCCTGATAAGACATGAAACATAGAAGAAAAAGAAATAATAGCATACACAAGAATTTTTATTGGTCAATTGAGAAGAAATATAAGAAAATATCTGAAAAGTGATTGGATCTAAGAGGAAACATTTATAGCCAATAGGAAACAAGGATTAGGAATAATAAATAGTAATATGTTCCATATTTGTCTATATTCTGAGATAAGGTATTGTAATGATTTACACTATTTACATCCTTCAGACACATTGGTTGAATAAACCAAAAATTGATTTGACCCAAAGTGTTATGAGTTCATTACCACCCAGAGCAGGAGTGTTGAGTTAATGAAGGATACTGTGATATCCAAAAAAGGCATGGCACATGTCATTAGAACAATCTACCCCAGTGGACTAAATAAAGGGTTCAGTTCAAAATTCCTATATATATCACCTGAAGAAGGTCAGAGCATACAACAGCCAAAATATTGTGAATATGGCAATAAAGATGATGACAACAACCTAAATTATATAAATAGTAATATATTTACTGACTAGAAAAAGGTACAACATTGCACATGCTTATGGGTGCAATTTGAGCATGTTTATTTTATACTAATGCACATCAAAAAGACATGAATTTATCTTTCCCTGCACTCTGTCCCAGATATGTTCATAAAAGCTATCATCACAAGGGTCAATGAAAAATATAGACAGGACAGTGATCATTTCCTTCTACTGCGAAGATTGATTATTAAAAATGACTTTGGGCAAATCAAGCCTGCAGGTTTTAGCAAGAACATCTCTTCTTTGAACCTTGTGAACTGGCACTACAGAAACACAAAAAAACTTTACCAAATAAAAGAAACCCAATCACTTGAGGACTATCAATAGCAGCAACAACTAAAATGGATGGCACATATAACACAAAGAGAAAATAATGACATAATGAAGATGCTGACATTCCAT